TTTGTCAGAATCCAGAACGATACCTTGTATTGGGAGCCAAGGTTCCCAAGGGTGCCTTGCTGCTGGGGCCCCCAGGTTGTGGAAAGACCCTCCTGGCCAAAGCTGTAGCCACCGAGGCCCAGGTCCCCTTTCTGGCTATGGCAGGCTCTGAGTTCGTGGAGGTCATTGGAGGTTTGTAAAGTCAGCATCAGCAGACATTATGGCATGGAGCAGGTCAACATAAAAATAATGCTGATATTCAATACAACAGTAGATAATGATAGTTATGGTAATACTGTGATATAGATTAAATGTCTGTTCCTGTGTTTCAATGCAGGGTCATTCTGTAATGACACTTCTCTTGATGTGTTTAAGGATTGCCATCACATGACTAATGATTTGTTGTAGGTTTAAATATCCTCTCCAAAATTGTGTCAGTGATATCCAATTATTGGTAAAAAATGTGATTTAATTTGAGGGATCACTCCTCAGTATTTGTGTCAGAAGGTAATAGCTTGAACCAAATTAGATGCTATCGGTTTCTCCTCAGTTTTGAGTTTATAATTGTACATGTTTGTGTGTAGGCCTGGGTGCTGCTAGGGTGAGGAGTCTGTTCAAGGAGGCTCGAGGCCGAGCGCCATGCATCGTCTACATCGATGAGATCGATGCTGTGGGAAAGAAGCGCTCCACCAACACGTCGGGTTTCTCCAATACTGAAGAGGAGCAGACTCTCAACCAGCTGCTGGTAGAGATGGATGGTGTGTATAAAACCTGGGATTTCAGAGAAGATTGTTGTCAACAGACGTGGACTTTTCTTTCAGAACAATGGCACATTTCTTCCTCTTTTTTTTTCAGGAATGGGAACAACAGACCACGTCATTGTCCTTGCTTCCACCAACAGAGCAGATGTCTTGGACAATGCTCTCATGAGACCCGGCAGACTGGACAGGCACATCTTTATAGATCTGCCCACACTGCAGGTAGTCTTAAGAATATACCTTATCAGTTTAAACATATTAACACATTTCATGTTGTCACTATTTTAAAGCATGACACCTTTTGGAGCTGCTTCCTGGTATCCTGTAAAGCCATCTCACATTATCAAGCAAACAAACATATGGACAGATAAACCGTGGTAATTGTGTAGGAGGTTAAGACAGACTTTGTCAGTTAAATCTAATTTGTTACATATTTATTGTCATTTCTCAGGAGAGGAGGGAGGTCTTTGAGCAACATCTTAAGATCTTGAAGCTGACCCAGCCCCCGGATACCTACTCTCTGCGTCTAGCTGAGCTCACCCCAGGCTTCAGTGGTAAACACATATTTACTGTTTTGTTTTTGTGTAAATCATAAACATCTGTGACCCTAACAAAGTAATGACCAGCCTCTATGAATAAAGCATGTGATCAACAACCATGAACCGTCACAACCAAACACTGGTGATGTTTACTGAACTGTCATTCCCATAATGGTGATCATATGGTTGTTTCCTACTCACTCTGTCTCTACAGGCGCAGACATTGCAAACATCTGTAACGAAGCCGCCCTGCATGCTGCCAGGGAAGGGCACAAGTCCATCGATACCTTTAACTTTGAGTATGCAGTGGAGAGAGTATTAGCAGGTACAATGATGCAAACACTGAATTATGGAAGTACATTAAAATAAATGTCACCTGCCACTTTGGCTAAATCTGACAGTGTGTGTTTTCAGGGAGTGTAAAGAAGAATAAGATCCTGTCTAAAGAGGAGCAGAGGATTGTTGCCTTCCATGAGTCTGGACATGCTTTAGTGGGATGGCTTCTTGAGCACACAGAGGCAGTCATGAAGGTAAGGCACGTCTGCTCCCTGATTTAGTGAAGACTTTTTTGGCCCGTTTCAAAATGTGACTTAATTGATGGCTTTATCTTTATAAAAAAAATCTCTTGTAAATCAGTCATTGCCACACTTTATTAACACAAGTGGTTCTGAGAAATAAATTGATGTGTATTATCTCGAGGTTGAGAGGATGACTGGGCATCGTTTAGGATTTGTGGACTTAAAGTCCAGCACTAATTAACAATGTAGATTGTTATAGTTTGACTGGCAGAATGCAGGATTCTCCATCATTTTTTTTTTTTTTAGGTGTCCATTGCTCCGCGTACTAATGCCGCCTTGGGATTCGCCCAGATCTTACCTCGCGATCAGTACCTGTTCACAAAGGAGCAGCTGTTTGAGCGGATGTGCATGGCTCTGGGAGGACGAGCTGCTGAGGCCATCACTTTTAACAAAGTTACAACAGGTACTCTCCATCTATTGTATATCCACTGTGATCACAGCTTGCCACGACAATTAACACTCAAGTCTGATTAGAAATGGTGGCCGAGTATCCAAAAGTAAACTGCTAAACATCCAAATATAAAGACTGTCCTATACTTTGCACTAACAGTGATTGAATTACCCTCGCTTTGTCCCCAGGAGCTCAGGATGACTTGCGTAAGGTGACCCGTGTGGCCTACTCTATGGTGAAGCAGTACGGCATGTGTGACAGCGTTGGCCAGGTCTCATTCCCCGAGACAGAGCAGCAAAACGGCGTCGGACGCAGACCCTTCAGCCAGGGCCTGCAGCAACAGATGGATCATGTGGGTTATACAGATTGATTATATCTCCGTTAGCCCACATTAGCACACACATAGGGAGTTCAAGTTAGTTTTGACTGATATTTGTATCAGTTGTTTTGAAATATAACTGCTTCTCATCTCCCTGTTCATTTTCCAAGGACAAAGTGAATGTTGCTCCATGCCATTATTTAATAAATCCATTTAAATCACTTGTTCTTCACAGGAGGCTAAGATCTTGATAGCGCGTGCTTACAGGCACACCGAGAAGATCCTACTGGACAACAGAGACAAGCTGGCACTGGTCAGTTTATCCCTTCTTTGATCATACATTTTATTTAGATTGTAGCTTTTTCATACCACTGAGCCTCGCCTGTATTACCTTTGGTTTGTTTTAAGTTCTAAACTTGTTATTTATTTATTTTGTTCGGTTCCAGTTGGCCAACGCGCTGATAGATAGAGAGGTGGTGAACTACGAGGACATTGAGGCGTTGCTGGGGCCACACCCCCATGGGCCCAAGAAGCTGATCGCCCCACAGAACTGGTTGGAGGCCGAGAGGGACAAACAAGACACGGGAGAGGACCAACCTCCCCCACCTCCCCGTAAAGACAGAGACGAGGACGCAAATCCACAGTTGGTCTGATATTAAAGTGAATGTATCAGAATTGTTCAAATGCTTCATTTTGTGGGGTCACCAGGGGAATTGTATAAAACCTGGTATTGATTCCTTACTATGAAGCTTTATATGCCTGAAAGGGAAACCATCAACGTTCCCATGCATATGTCGTGTTTCAAATACACCTGTTTTCTAGCTGACCCTAAAACACACCAAATACATTTCTTTGGCAGGACTTTTTTTTTCTGTAATGTGTTTGCTGCACAGCCATATTAGGTCATCGGAGCACTCAAATCAGTTCTATTTAAATGTCTCTTACTAGCCTAAACTACGGATATTTTAGAAAGCTCTCTGAATTGCAAAAATATACATACTGTATGTGCTACAGTAGGTTTTATGTTGCATATACAGGTTTGGATTAAAGTAATACTTGAGGATTTGTTATTTCAAATCTGCAAATTATAAAGCAACTGCTAGCCGTTGGTAACTCGTCATACTGTACGAATAAAAGTTGATCTTAGGTGTGATTATTCTACTTTGTCCGAGCTAACCCTTTGTACCGGTGTTATGATGAAACTACAAATAGGCTAAAGGTTTGTTTTGTTGAATATGCGGCTGATTAGACTTCACACATCTGTCCTTTTCTCACCATGAGATTTAAGGATTAAATAGGTTGAAGGAAGTGTTTTTTTTATAATTCAAATCCTAGTTTTGGTTTGTTTTATGCGAGTGAGTATGGAGTCCAAAAGGATGGCGTTGTCAAATATTAAAATAAAGTGATGTAAATAATGTGTGTTGTATCAAATGATCATGGAAACAGACCATTTACTTTTACACATTGTGTTATGTTGCAGCCTAATGCTTAATTTCTTCCTCATTAATCTTCACTAAATACCGGTGTAGTACAAAAAAATACACATAACCCTGATACACTGTATATTATTGGATGTGCATTAAACCTAAGTATGTACTTGAAGCACTATTGCCGGTGATAACAGCCTCGAGTCGGCTTGGGGATAAGGTGACAACACACCTGGATCTGTGGATTTTCTGCCAGTCTTCTCCGCAGGTCTTTTCAGTCGCAGTCGGGTTGGAGGGTACAGTTGGTGGACAGTCATCATGTCTCTTTTGTCTTAAGAGAAGCTTCCATCTGGCCACTTTGACATTAACCAAGATCGGTGGAGAGTTGCAGTCCTTCTGGAAGACTCTTATCTCCACACAGGGTCAACCATAGTAACCACCAGGTTCTTGGTAACATCTCTTACACATGGCCTTCTCCCCCAGTTGCTAAGTTTAGCTGGGTGGCCAGCTGTAGCAGCAGTGTTTAAAACTTTTTACATTTAAGAATTATGGAAGGTCTTCAATGCAACAGAAACAAGTTCCTCAATAAAATGCTGTCTGAGCTCCACAAGCACATCCTTCAACCTCTTGTATTGGGTTTTGCTCCGATTTGCAGTGTTAGCTGTGAGACTTTTTAGGTGTCAGGTGTGCCTTTTAAAATGATCTCAAATCAACTAAACTTAACACAGGCGGACTTGAGTCAGGTGTGGACACGCCTCTAAAAATATCAAGATAAATTAGAGGCACCTGAGCTAAATGTCAAGTGGAATAGCAAACAGTCTCAATAAGGTCAATATGATATTTTAGATTTCCTTTTTAATACATTTGCTAAAACTTTAAAAGCCAGTTTTTTCTTTTCCATTATGGGATATTGAGTAGATGGTGAGTGTATACAGTTCTATGTAAAAGAGATCTTATTTCATGATGAGCAAAGAGAAACAATACACACACTTAATAAAAGACTTACATTTATTCTGGAAACTCTAAATTCAATGAACATATACAGTAAAAAAAAAAAACATTCAAAATCTTCACCTCCGAACTATTTGATACTATATAATATATTGTGGTACAGTTTGTTTGGTTGAGTAAATGGTTTTTTCCAAAAAGGTTAATAGCTGGAATGGAGGATTTGTGATCAAAAAAACAAAATGAAAATAAAATGATCACTTATATATAAAAAAATACATAAAAGGTTTGTTTTCTCAGGCTTGTTGCATTAATACCGAGAAATCCAAGTCTGAGGATGGGCAAACCAGACATGGACAACCATGTATTACAGCACAGCTCATTTCCTCTCGGCTGATCGAATCAGCTCTTGAGTTCTCTGTCTCATTAACTTCTCCCAAGCTAAGTACAACATTTTTCCACAAGGCATTTTGTCAGTAGTGTCCAAATGAACCTCTTTAAACTAGGGCACTTAGAGATTAAAGTCCCACGCCTTTACATAGCACTTATCTTTCTTTGGCACACTTCAAATCTTGTCCTTGACTAAAATATTGCCAAATGGGTCAGAGAAAAAAAACCCTGAGCCCTGATCCCTAACTGGTGGTGAAGCACACATGTCTTTCTTTGAGGGGCTGTCCCTGTTAACGTGGGTCATACATGTTGGCCAGTTTCTTAAAGCGTGGTCCCCAGTCGTTGAGGTAGTCGTAGTCCTGGTCTCCGTCAGAGCTGCCTGAAGCAATGGAGCTGAGGCTGCCTGCCAGGGAGCCCTCTCCCTCGTAGTCATAGATCAGGGCCGTGTCGTAGGGAGGCACGTTCGGATCGTTGTCGGCAGCCTCCAGGCCCTGAGGGAGGAAAACATGTCAAATGGTTAGAATAAAACTAAATGAGTACAAATATAAATAATTCTTAGTAAACAAACTCTCCTTCATAACATAAATAAATATCACGTGTCCGACGATAAGTTATTAGAAGTATATACTGTATCTGCCCTCCTTCTCCATAACTCCATCATATACACAACACAACCCACAGACAACTAGCTGTACAACCCAAATATCCACACAGTGTAAATGAGAGTAACATTCAAACAATTGCCCTGGTGTTCATCCCTTCACCTGTTTGGTACTTCTTCTTGAATTGATATTATGTTATATGATTTATGATATATTTGAGCCTCTACATCTAACCATTCCACACATTCACCTCACTAATTGAAAAACACATGCTCTTCAGAGGTACTTCTTAAATAATAACCCCTCTCTATGACCAAGAAAATGTATTGTATGTTATAAAAAAGTGACCTTTTTCTTGCTTTATAGATTATTTGTTCAGAAACATTGGCAGAAGGTCTGTCAATAGTTAATACCTGTTTTGTATTTTTGAATTTGAGTTACTACAAAGGCTTTGCCCTTTTAATAATGATCCCAATTTGGGAAATCTAACTTCTAATTGTGGTCTGGGTCTTCATAATTCCTTGTTTATATGGCGTTTAGGTAAAACAGGGTCCTGGTAGAAGCCTCTCACATCATTGATGTAGTCCTCGATGTCAGTGGGGTCTGCTGGCGGCCTCCGTGGGTAGATAGGTGAGGGCAGGTTATGTGGAGCGTCCTTCCTGAGGGGCTGCTTTCCTCGAGGAACAGCGGACCCTGGGTAGTAGGACCCCGGGGTCGAAGGGGCCTCAAGTGGATTCCACAGCATGTCGATGCTAAAGGCATTCTGCAAAGGTAAAAAATAAGCTTGACTGTGTGTACTTTGTGAATACAGTGATAACATGCATACACAACACACTCTCACTCCATAAACGTCCAGGAGCGACGCTTGGTCAGGGTCCCGAGGCGTGCAGTTGGGACGCTCCTATGCTCCTTCAGATTCATAAAGGGACGCAAATAGCTTTCACTGATTGCAATGTATTCCCATCTGCGGCGGGATTTGACGCTCATGGAAGCACGGCATTCATTTGTGTCGGCTGCTCTTAAAAGGCAATGTGAGCGTCCATTCCCATTGGATAACAGAGAATTGTACACCAGGAAGTAAGTATTCTCCTTACTGTCAATTGATTTGACAGTGATATCTGCACTACTCATCAACTCAAAAACACCAGATTATCCTTGTTGATTAAACGACATTGATAGGTTTTGTGAACATTTTCTTGTTGCCCCAACTGGTCGACACCTCTTTTAGCAGAAACAAAGGCTACATTAATATATTAAATCGATGTTAATCCAGGTGGATGTGGAATTAACGGACGTGACGTTGTGTGATTGCGTTGCCAAGCAACAGCTTCGGTTCATGTTAATTTACAAACTCTTCAACTACAACCGTAGTTATATTTAAAAACATGTTAGAAGGCCTCACGAAATACTTTAATGTAAATTAAAATTGAAATGTGAAGGAATGTGTGTACAACAAAATACATCCTTACGAAATACGAAACCGGAAACAGACGGAGGCAAGATCCTCAACTCGATTTAGCACGCTGGGATTTGGTGTTTATATAAGATGTGAAATCCGAAAACATATTTTAAAAATAAAATAATACATTATTCCGAGTGTGCTTGCTTTTCTCTTTGAAAGTCATCACATAACGGCATTGTAATACACGGTTCGGCTGCATTAAATAGGAAATATCTGCCGTAGTTGTATATTTATAGAGCCCTGATGAGAAACATGAGGGCTTTGTAGAGACAAACAGGAGGAAATGCCGCCAAACTGAAAACGTGACGTGGATCCTAAATATATCAGCAGTTAAACAACATCTTACATTTCTTTTCACACAATACGTCTCCTTGCAGTAGATTGTATTGCTCATTACGTTAATGAAAATCCCTAAGGATAATATAGAGTTATTATTTTATTTATTTTTTACGGGTATTTGCGGCGAGAATTGGGTGATCCACGGCATAAGATGACGCGACGCGTGCAGATACGGACACTTGTATCGTGCAAGTAGATGGTTAGACCCGAGTTTAGTCACTTTTCAGTCGGGCGTTA